TAGAGGCTAATACTAAGAATATGCGCTAACTTGTGTATACACTTTATAAAAAGGAATATCTGTATATTTGATTTGCCAAAGTTTATATTAAGCAATATTAGAATATAAATAAGGAAATTACAAGCCAATTGATTATTGCTATAATAATAATGGTGGGTTTCTTATTATTGATATGCAAAATCCTAACGCAGTGAAGTATATAGCAAACCAAGCAGTACAGTGACAACAAGAAATCAATTTACCGATGATACATCTTGCTAGAAGGTAATCGTCCAAATATATATATATCTGTGTGTGAGAGAGATCGACTTTGGGGAAGACCTTGAAAAATAATCAATCCGGAGATATAGAGAGAGTGAAATTAACCTATCTTAACCACAGATGCTTAAGTGCATCTGCTGCAGTTAACTGTTTTGCCCGTAACTTTTCCACGAAATCTTTCCCATTCTTTGACCGAATCACACGGTCGAAGGTGGTATGTAGCAATATACCAAATTGGTACATTTCCGACCGCTTTGTGTACACACCATTGTCCAATGTATTGTCATCCCAATCCTTCAACCTCTCGATGTCTAAGCGATAATGGCGATCTCTGACAACATGTTTGCTACGATTCCGAGATTTTCGTTTACTTATATTAACATCATCACGACGACCACCATGCTCGAAATCGATGAGTACGTATTGCTTGAGGGTGGAGTCGTAAACGATATTGGGTAATCGAACATCACAATGAAGGTATCCTCCCGAGTGCAAATAAGAGAGACCTGTAACTACGTCTAACACCAATTTTTGCACCTTATCTTCTGAATGTATAGATAACGTTTCAACCGCGATACCCCTAGTTGCTAGCTTGATCTTGTAAGCTGTATTTCCCCAAATGAGCTTTGGGCCGTCCTTGACCTGGACAAGCCCACGTTTTCCCTTGGCATGTTGATACATTGCAAAGAGAAAATCGACACGACTTTCTATCATTTTCAGGTTTTCTCCATCAACGAATGGAAGATCACGTATAGAAACCACTTTCTTGACATAGTTTGCCTCATACGAGATAGTCGACCTATGGTATTTCTGCGTCTTTGTGACAGGATATACCGCAGAAGGAATGCAGTTTTTGTCTACTAATGTTCTAACCAGTCGGGTGATGTTTATAATGGCCTTGAGAATATCTATGCGATCTTGAATGTCATTCAAATTGAATTCTTTTGTAAAAGGAACAAAACGGTCTTTCTTCCGCTTTGTCCATCCATCGATTATATAAAAAGAGATATTTGTCCCATTTGCTGTATAGCATATCATAAACTTGAGTTCCTCAGGAAGAACTTCATCAAACTGTGTAAATTTATACTCAAGGTCCTCAAAAGCACCAGTGACAGATTTCTCCTCACCCCAGAAGAAAAGTACGTCTTTGATCCGAAAGAGGAAATCTGGATGACATTGCTCCACTGTAGTGCTCCCACTTAATGAATAACAGATTAGAATCAAATAAACTGAGTAAAATTATCCAGCAAAATCATACTGAAATGTGGAAAGGAAATGTACCTGTCTGTTGCATTGCGATCTACTGTTACTGGCAAATGCAACACTCTTGAAATCTCTTCTACTGGTGCCCTGATCAAACTATCCATCATAAAATGCATCATATCCTCTTGTGTGTTGTTTCTTTGATTAGTGTATGATAGTGCGGAGCCGAATTGGACTCCTAGGGGACATTGGCAATTAACTTCATCGTAATCAAATATGTTCCTGACTTGGGGATTCTAAAGGGTTTCAGGTGTCAAATCATAACAATAAAAATGAAAGAAATTATTGATATTCCATACTTTTAGGGCGAGCAACTTTGCACCAGCTACAGGTAAAGAAGTGAGAAGGTCGGACTTCATAATGAACTTAAGCTCGCTGGTATTTGTAGGAATCATATTGAACGGTTTCACAAGTGCCTCACAAATAATTCTGCTGTTGTCAGTCACTTCTTTATACAGGTGAGTTAGTATCTCTCGCAAAAATCTTGAGATAATCTGAAAACAAAGTACCTTTAAATGGTTGCTTTACTCTATCAACTGCAGAAATTTGAAAGAAAATTTTCAAGATATTAATAATAAATAGCATGGCAGCGGTAACAACAATGAAAAAAGTAATGTGCAACATTAATAGAAAGGCATTATTAGCGTGAAGTATGAGCCGCGTGGAAATGATAGTGGGATGCGAGGGGAAAAAAAGAAAAAAAAAAGGATGGCGGTAAGTGAGAAAGTTCAACGTCACAATTAGTAGTGAATATTGTGATGGTTATGAATGACATAACGAATAGTTGATACATGAGCATAGATAGCAAATAATTTCATGCTTCCAACGCTCTACTCCACGCCCCAACGCCGAGTCACAAAATCGTTACCTGCAGAACCTTGTTGGAGGCGGAGCCTCTCCAATTCCAACAGACGCTCAAAGTTTTCTTGAGTTTTTAAGTTTTGGGGAAGTTTCTCGAAGTCTTCCATGACAAAGGCACGAAGAGAAGATGTGCTGCGCAATGTGATCTTAATAATCAATGCGCAGAAATTCCAATCATCTGATAACAAACGGATATTTATTATAAAAACAGCACTGCTTCAGAAATCAACCACAACGCAATAAATATCGTTGAAACAATACATCGTTTTCAAAGCAATAAAAACAAACAACACTACGAAAAAATGCTTACATTTACAAGCGAATTCGGCCTAATAATATGGGAGCTTTAATTCAAAGGATGAAGTTACAATCCATAACAAAACTGTCATCGGCGAACAAAATTTACTCGCCAGAAATCGAAAAGTTGTGGAACGATCTAAAACGATTATACGACAGAAGAACTGAATCGGATCTAAAATTTTCATTGTTTGAAATTCACAAGTTACTTGGTGAAGGAAAAGCTGTTGCAGCTTCCACAATACGAAATTTTTATCTTCGACGAACGATTCCGCGGAAAATGTAAACCACTCAGTGGAGAAAATTGAATTATCGTTATGTAATCTTCATTCTTTGTATAAAAGTAGTGAAACGCGAATTAAGGCTCAACAAATGCACTCAAGCAGTCCTTTATCAACAGGTCAAAACTATAAGGAACGATTTTTCATTGATAGGTTGCTTGATCAGTAGAGGCCTTTTATGTTAAACTGTTTTCTTTACGTTTCTTCAAGTTTTCGTTTCTTTCTTCGTTCATCATGTGTTGGTGTTATTGTTTATCGTAACTAATCATTTCTTTCAGAAATAATTTCCTTCTTGCTAGACGAATGATTTTGCGTTGACTATTATCTTTCATGATTCGTGTTTCGTAGTGTATTACGAGTATCAACCTTCTAACGAATATATTAAACTCTCGGTGTTATACATCATCTTTATTATTACGAACGCCTTTTCTGTATTAAACATAAGGTCTTATAATCGCAATCTTTCTGAACTGAACACTTCTCACGCTTCCCTTATTAATCGCCAAGATATTACAACAAAGCATCGATAGACGGATAATCGCGAAGAACTTATATGCAAAGTGTCAATTCAGAAAATATTATAATAGCCGAATACTTTTAATGCCCTGCTTATTAATCGCCATGATTTTATAACGAAATAATTATTCCGTATCATGCCTTATTAGTCGCTAGGGAGTTCTTACATCAAAGTATCGGTAGAGAACAAGATAATACAACATTTCCAATAATCAATAACGGATATTATTACAAGAGATGAAACCACCCCAGGGAAGTAGTTCCACTTCAGTTTTACCCTCAGCAGTATCTTCCGCCTGGGAGAAAGGTCGTTTATATATATCACCATTCGAATTCATCACTCTAGTACTCAATTTCCCTCTCAGACGCCTACTCGAAATCTAAGTAATACAAGATACAAGTGTCAAACCCGATAAACCGAAACCCGATAAACCGAAAATCCCGTTAGACCGACTTTTTTTTTTGAAATCCGCACTTTAGTCTATTAAAATTACCCTGACAAACCGAGTTACTATTAAACCTCCATAAGCCGTAAACCGAAGATTTTCTGAAACAAACTTACCCCGATAATCCGAATAAAAATTTATTTAAGCCAATAATATCATTTATTGACCCCGATAAACCGCATATTTCGACCAATTATATTTGTCTATAAAAATTGTTAATAACTTTCCTAGAACAAAGAGTTGGCCTTAGCGAGAATTTTATATACTGTATTAGTTAAATCAATGTAAAAAAAATTACGTCAATCAATCTCTGACTTTAAGGTTTAATCTCAAATAAGCAGTTATTTCCCAAGCTATTACTGTAGTTATAAACAAATAAAGAGTAGTGTTTACGATATGTATTATCTGGCAACTTGAGCACTTACCACGTTTATCCGAACGTATGGTTTCCTTCGGTTTATAGAGCAACCCCGCTAATCCGTTTATCGGGGTTGACCTTGTAGTTGTTAAGTGAAGAAAACACTGCATGTATTTTTTCAAATGCTATAACATTTTTAGTATTCACACATGATTCTCACAATACACACATTCCCCTCTGTGAAAAAAGATTAATATGTAAAAGATCCATGCTTTTGCTTTATCAATTCTAATAAAACCTGCATGTCTCAACGCATGACAAAACCTGTCCATTTCATTTGCAAATTCCAGATCCCTTTATATATTTCGCACCGCATTTTCTTATTTGCATTAACTCGCTCATGATATTCATGATTTACGGTTTTTCACACTGTATGCCTTTGCCTGATAAGAACTCGCCTAGTTACAAAAAAAAAAAGATAAGATAACTACGAATTTGTACATAGAAACATTAAACCATAAAATACGCAGATTTAAATTACCGTCAATAACACTTGACAAAAGCGGGGAAATTGCTTGACTTGTTAAACTTGATTCGGAAAGTTGAATTACGAATAAAGTACAAATAAGGAAGCATGATGAGTAAAGAGGATGAAATTAATAATCTTGAAAAATGACTGGTAAAGAAGAGTGCAAGATATCCAGTATGATGGTTGTGTCACAGTTTTTGGTCACCAATAATAAGCCGGGTATTAGTATCAATCCAAACAGCATGCTCAATATCCACAAAAGGAATACGATGTTTTCTTAGTATGGAAGCAATGTGAGAATATACCAATAAAAATATCGGCCAAGCTGTAACATCAACTAGAAATTGAAAATTCAATATTGTCAGACTAGAATGCAAGTATAGTCTTCATATTATTATTGTTGCTGTTAATGTTATTATTATAATTGCTAGTATAATTGTTATTACTATTATTATAATTGTTATTACATCATCGTCATTATTATTACCATTCGTTGTTTATTGTTTGTTTTGTCGTCGCCCCCCGCCGTTGTTTTATTATTCCAGCTGCTATTATTGTTGTTGCAGGTCTTATTGTATATATTTGTTTGTCATACAACAACGTCATAGTCAACAGCATATTTGACGATCATTGCTACGCCAACATAGGAACACTTTGTTTCTACATTTTGCACACCCTGCCAACGTTTCACCTTGTTTTAAGAGTCATTAATGATAAACTAATGACAGCCCAATTTTTCATTGTCCTGCCAAGTACAGACACTATCACATGATAATATGATAATATTACAAAGATTGTTATCCAAACGGCTAAAGATTATCAAGTTCCTGTTCCTAGCACTAACTGTTTCATTATCAATACTCGTTGCATAAATAAGGCAATCTTTTCTCTATTCGCGCCATTTAAGTACATCAATCATTGCACAATGCTCACAAAATAGCGTAACTTCATCATCCAGCCATCTTATTTATCTATAATGAAGAGATTCTGGTCGACACTTGTATATAGAGACGGTCTCAGTAGACGAGAACCTAAACTTCCGGCATCGGCACCAGAGTCAACTAGAAATTCCATGATATCGTTAAACGATAACAAGAAATATACAAGAATATTAAATGGTCTATTAGGAAAGGGTGACATTCTAAAGAAGGAAGATAGTTGTGAGGAAAACAAGACTGATACCGAAGATAAGAATAAGGGTCCTGAAAAAAAAATAAAGAAAAGACGTGTGAATAGTGTCTTATTCAGAGGTAGAGGACACCGGCAGGATATTTATTACACTCCAATACTAAAAGAATTAACCAAGTGAGTAGATTCTAGTATGCGACATATTGCAAGACACTTTAAGATTTAAGAAACATAACTTACATCAAACCTAATGTAACTATGCATTACCGCTTGTGGTGGCTCTCTCCTTTACATGTTCCATTTCCTCTTCCGACTGCTCTTTCTCATTCAACTTACTTTCCGTTATATAGATCAGAAGGCCGCTGCTCCTGTCGGATTCTACGCACTGTTCTATTGCCATGGCTTAAGAAAACAAGCAAACGTCTGTCTCTACATAATCTTATTAGCTGGTTGTCTGTTATCGTTCGTGAAAACTAACATCGGGGTAATGCGTCATACATAGTCAACGTAACGAATGCGGAAGAATTGAATGAAGGTCGTCGAATATTATTGCGATGGTCAGTAAATCCGAGTCGTTGTAAACGATGAACGAATGAATGTAATCAGCATTCGTTAGCTCTATATTATCTGTAATGAATTTTACTTTACAGCTACAGCGATTGACAACTTGTTCATTTTTCTAGGCTGAATAATTTGATAACTGAACTATTTACTGGAAGACTATACACAGTTGACCTTGCACTATTCTTTGAAAGTATATTATTGATTATTGAAAGGTAATTTGTCGCTGTAGAACTCATTAGCAACAATTTGATGGTGACGAGTTTTGCGAGATCATATCGCATAGGTGTATACGTGCAAGTCCCTTCATACTGACACTGTTTATACGTTCTAGAAACGAATTCAAGGGCATCGAAGCATCCGAACCGATAACGCCCAAGGATGAAGAACCGATCACTAGAATACCGGTTGATTTCATTTCCGAATATAACAAGACCTTGCTGTTACTAGTCCAGAAAGTGTTCAGATCACTCAGCGATATGGGAGTACTCACAAATTGGATATCATTTTCAGCAAGGGTATTAGGTGAATAAATAAATTACTATTATTAGATGAGAGGGTTAACAAGCATTGCGATAATATGAATGCTCTGTAAAAGGTTACAATTAACGCTTAGTCGTTCTGTCTTAGCATTTTGTTTTCTAAGGTTACCTGAAGTTGCATACGCTCTCATAAAGGATTTGCCAGTAAAAGAGTTTCATACAAAGCGATTACTAGCAATAATCGAACCCAATGAAAAAATAAAGTAAGTCCCCAACTAATACTTTATTCACTGTAGATAGTAAATAATCTGCGTACTCATCAGACCCGTTATTTATCTCATACTCTATTAGATCGGAATCTTTGGCAAAGAGCTATGACATGATGCAAAACATGTTCCCCAAGAATATGCATCCCTTTTGCTACAAAACTTCAAGAATATGGTGGAATCAACTGAGGAACCCAAAGAAAGAATGGAGGTCGGCAGACATAGAAATGAGCGGAAACTGTAAAAAGAGGTAACAAATGAATGTGTGAACATATATCCTTTGACGACTCGTGTACGCTCTCTCATACATATAACCCCTCCATTTTGCAGGTGGCTAGCAGACGATAGCGATCTCTTCTTTTCTTTCTACAAACATTATCATATAGCATTGAAATCCTACTTTGCTGATTCGTCAGACGAATCGTCCACGTCCCCATTCGTTTATATTGCCTCTCCCGGATACCTTCATTTTGCTGGATTCTTCTTACAAAAACTAGATTTACTCATATACAACAGGGAAGTATATGCAATAACCGGCTACAACCTTAATTCAAACGGAACCTGGCAGATACATACGCCAAAGACGAATGCATGTGACATGGCCAAAAAGGCTTATAATATGGGTAGAACGATTACTATGGGAGAATTCGTATCGCTTAACAAGAAGCCTCTTGCTCTAGAAGCTGCTTCTAGCAGATTCGCAGAGACTATCGCTACTGTTGTCGAGCAGGGAATTTACGAGCAGATGCCAAACATCTGGCTGAAGGCTGTTGTTAAGAAGACTAACATGTATGACTGGGAAGGAGTATTCTGTGAGTATGGGAAATGTAGTAGTATGTAGGTATTATTACATATAAGCATGACTCTCACCTAAATTTATTTTAGGCCTTTTTGATTTCATGGAAAATCTCATCGATTCAATAGATGAAAGGTTTGTTCATATTATACGATTACTGTAAAATTCAGCCCACGCGCTGACATTCCACTTTTCTATCTGATTATAGAGTAACCATAGCACTCTCACCTCCAACAACTACAACGACAAAGCCAAATCTCTGTTCTACATCCACTCTACCGTCGATCGTTGACATTCCATTTATCATATCTTTCATATCAGTCATACTCAAAGAATGCGATCATGCTTCATCTCTACTACGAACAATATCTTTTATATATTCGCAATTTACTCTTCTGACAGCATCTCCAGAATATTTGCAACTACTTGTATTAGATACGCTAATGATTAGGGAGGTTTTTGATAAGCTATTTTGTCACTGGGCAAAGTTTGTTAGAGCCTACTTTATTAGGTTGCTAGTGTGGAGAGTTAAGAGAATTCATTGCAGAGTTACTGGGTGTGAGGACGACTGCGAAGAGTAAGTATGGACGATTTACAATTATTTCTACATGGCGACGTCATGTCTATGCGATACTATTCGGCACTTACCGATTTGACTATTTCATTTTAATAGTGAAGTCTCTAAAGAAGTTCGGAAAATCCGAAAACTATACACGCGTCGGATTGAACGCATAAATTCAACTCATGAATTAGTTACAGCGTACAAAGCACACAAAGTAGAAGAACAACAGGCTTTATCTTTGCATCAATCCTCGGCATCAATCTATTCGATTCCTTCATCAGCAACGTCGGTATCCTCTCTTCTTTCTCTTTCGTCAACACAAGATCTCACGTCTGCCGCTTTTGCGCAGATAGAGCCCAGTTCATCATGTAATCAAGAGGCATTCAAACTGAGTGCAAGTATAGAATGGCATCTCGCATTACAGAGAGACACGTATGCAGAACATGCACTGTCCGAATTGGATAAGACTCGGAAGGAGTACAGGTTGTGGAAGCAAGCCAAAGAGAGTAATGCTGGAATGAGGAAGCACGTACCCGGCTTGGTAGTTAGTTTCCCTAGGAACAAGGAAAATGATTAGCAAATGGTTGAAAATTGAGTGTACAATGGACAATATGATACTGTACATTAGATATGCACGTCGACAATAACATACAATTTAATAAAAAGACTTTTGGAACTATTACAAATAGAGAATTTATCATTTGCTGTTGTTAGAAAAAGTGTTACAGCATTAAGACACGACACGAGCGGTGTAACATTCTATAGCCAGTTTCAGAATACAAAAACGTAATTTTTTGCGCCAAATCTAAAAGCCGCCTAGCCAATAATGGTGGAAAGGGATTTTTTTTTTTTACACTGTCTCATAGTAATAGTAATAGTAATAGGGAATCATAAACTGTTTCGGATCGTCCCAAATATCATGTGAGACATCAAATTTAATACTTTAACTCACATCGTGAATGATTCGAGCTTTAGCAAACATTACAGATAAAAATCGTTGGCATATAAAATGTCTATTGCGAATAGTGTAGAATGAGAAAGACAATTTTTTGCGAATAACATTAATATGTACATTTATGTCCGCAAAGAATTCTCATGCTCCGGCGATTAGACGTAAAAATAGAAACCGACATTCCCATCGCGTTTTCTTATTACAAGTAGTCATCTTTCCGTATTTGCACAAGAAGAAATTTTGGCCTATCTCCTTTCACGTATTGTTCATTATAACCAGATTTCAATTGCTAACGTGATAACTATGACAACAGCTCAACAATAGTAATAAATGTGACCGATTAAAACGAAAATCGCCAGTTTACAGCTTTTGCAATTTATAATAGCCTAATTTTTAGTTCCAATAATGCTTTTCTTTGGTGTAAAAGTTAACCCTTTAGCAAGACTTGCAATCAATCAAAGCAATGGGTAAAATCCGTTTGGCTAATATTGGTACTAAAAATTACATAGTAATTTCATTAAATGAGTTGAATTTCGACCCTGTAGATATTGTTGGATGCCGCAAATGAAAGCATTTATCCGTAAACGCAAAGAGTCACACACAATACATACGTTTGATTGAGAAACCCGACGTTTATAGATGTTCTTAGCATAATTGCTAAACTTAAAGAAATGAGAAATAAGAAGGCTATAAAATAACACCTTCCCTCGATATCAATGGGGAAAAAAAATATTATGTTAAAAATTACAGCTTGTTGCTTTGTCACTCTATCCGGAATTTACTGTATACCTCTTATAGTTACATTACTATATTTTCCTGCGACACGTCAATTATTGTGGTGGTAATTGTTACAACCATCAGGTTAGCACAATATTACTAAAAGAAAAAATTAACGTTTGAGTGAGTTGTGGCAATTAGCGGGGAACAAGTTTGTGCGGTCAGTTTTTCCTTGTATACGCGCCTTTTTTATTGTGTAGCGTATAAATGAAACAATTCGAATTTTCGATACTGTAACTTACTAATAATGCTGAACTTACGTATTAGATGAACATTAATACAGGATAGCAGATAGTTAAAATGATATGGAAATTCGGAAGTAAAAGACAGAATGCCTCAAAGAATATAAACTATATTGTTAGCTAACTAGATGCTAGTAATTTCCCCCCCCCCCCCCCGCTTTTCCCCGGAGTACATGTAGTGGTTTCATTGTTATTATTGTCATATTATCGCCATTTCGGATATTTAAAAAATTAGCGAAATCAACGATTATGTAACTATCATATATACAATATGTATCTGTGGATTAACACGTATCGGTATCCCTTATCTCTCACCATGTCGTCTTCCTCTCACAAATAAATAAGACGCTCAACATCAAGTAAATATTATATACACCCAATCATTGATATTTACAATTACGTTTTCACTAATTGTTAGTTTTGTTTCCTGATTATGTGGTCAAGAACATTCTGCACGTGATTTAATACTCCGTCCTGATGATCGCGAGAAGTTTGTACAGTATCATCAGACATCGCGAGTTGTGACAATTGATTTGTGAGGGCATCAAGCGCTTCCACTGTTTGAGATGTTTCGTCTGCTGCTTGCGTCTCTTTAGAAGAAGAAGTTATCTCGTATGATAAATAGTGACGGAGTATCTTGGTTATCTGAAGATAGTTTAAATTAGGAAATTTCAGTCTGTATAACGAGTGATCTTATACAAAACAGCAAAAATAAAAATACTTACATGTAACACTTGCCGAAAAGCTTCTCGTTGCGCTAATGAATCCTGATCTACTATATCTTCGACATCCATAGTTGTGGTATCATTATTAGAGCTACTGGACGTCAATATATTCTTCATTAATATGTTCAAACGAGATCGAGCAAGTGCCAGCGGTGTCTTCGTAAACGTGTCATCGATATTTATCTTGGCGCCTATATATAAGCCATTCGGATAAATAAATCATCTTCCTTTATGTGTAATAGACGCAATCCAATAATTTTTACCTGCTTCCAACAGTAAAACTACACATTCAAGTTTATTCGCAATTACAGCTGCCATAATAATAAGAACAACGAGGTTACCTAATATTCGATAACAACAACAACAACACAAAGCCGCAAAGCAACAGTACCCAAATGCAAAGGTCGATTTCCAGCAACATCAGGCTCTGCGTTAACATTGGCCCCACGTTCAATCAATAGCTTCACCACATTCTCATGTCCACTGGCGCATGCAAAGTGTAGAGGTGTTCTGCCTTTATCATCTGGCTTATTCAGATCCAGCGGTGGATTTATGGTTATAAGGGAAGTTACTGTTCACGAACGTGTGGATCGATTAGATTATTACTGCATTAGAATACTTTCCTTCACCACCCTCAAATCACTCACTAGCTTCCATATCACCGCGCGCAGCTGCTTCTCGAAGTCTCTTCTCTCGGAATTCTACTTCTAATGCGACCCGCAATCTCACTTTAATGACATCTTGGTGTTCTTTTGATATGCGAGGGTTAAGTGTTCTGTGCAGTAACAGCGTCTGCAGTGAACTGAAGTTACTGAGTCTGCGCGGAGTGTTTGGAGGTGTGGGGGCTGGCCGTGAGGGTACAAACCTACGAGTTTCGTCCATTGGAGGAAGAAAGAACAAGAAACGAATGTAACAAAATTCGGGGTTATTCATACAGGGGTGTGTGCGACGGACGCGTTGGGAACGTTTTTCCTAAAAATAACAAGTTAAATATGTAATAGTTATATACAAATACGAGACAATAGCCATAAAAGACCTAGATACAGAAACAATCTCGTCTTAAAAAGATCTTTTTTTTTTTGGGAACATCATTATTATACGCTTGCGGCCTGTCTTTAATGCTTTGTAGTACGTGACTGATTACTTTTACGCCATTCTAGATTTGAAAAGCCTTTAATAGTTCTCTAATAGTATCTTCAAACAAGATACTTTGATATACCGAGAAATCCGTTTGATTGTATGCTGTATGTTTCAATGTTTGAATTGTGCAAGACTTTATTTCCAAGCTACATGTACATGCTAAAGTTAGTATATGTTTCAATGTTTGTAATATTGGCTTTAGGGAAGAAGGTAACGCAATAAATAGAGCCGTTAAGATGACTTTTGAACAATATTCTAATTTTTGTAGACCCATCGATGTCCAATAGTTCTTTCAGTTTTCCTACGATCCAGTGCCAGTTCCCCATAGTTTATTTAGCTTAAAGATTGCTTTTTCCGAGAAATGCATTCCTCAATAATATAAGAGTCACACTCATATTCTGACATAGTTTGAGTTAAAAGGTCGCTCTTAAAATAGGTTCTGTACATAGATAGGGTCATTTGACGCGGTGGAAAACACTTTCCTAAAGTCTCCAAATCATCCACTTCGTTAAATAATTCAGAACCTGTTCTTGTTCTTCACAGCCCACAATGAATTTTCCCATCAGCAATTTAGCAAATTCTAACCTTCAACATCTGCATACCAGCAGATCAACTTGACATTCTTGTGGTTAATGTCTACTTAATAACGTAAATAAGCTATCGACCATTTAGATTTTAGAATAGCAATTCCGCAGTAGCAATTTAGATATATAAATTCTGTAGATAACTCTTACGGTGGATCGAAGAATACAATACGAATAGAAAATACTTCAATTGGCGTTTCACTATGGGTTCTCATGTCTTCTCTAATGGTAGATATTCAGTCTGGTAATCTCTAGCTTTCGGCATATTAATATGCTGAACTTATTCGAGTTACAGCGCCTCTGATTCAACAATAACATGCCTTTAAGTCGTGCGCACTCGGAACAGCACGTCGGAATAATACGAATAATTTGCCGCCCGAATCCTGGAATGTACCCATATCATCAGTAATATGAGGTGAGGTACCAGGTTAATATCTCCTGGAGAGTGCCACCAAGAATTATATCGAGAACTATGGGTATGTACAGTCACCGGCAAAAGTAATGGCGGTCAGTTTTTGGGATGTTGTGAGCGCAATTTGGTATATAAACACAAATAAAAAGACTTTTATGAAAGCCTAACATTATGGCTACAAACTTTATTAATAATTTAATACTTAGTATGGCATCCTTCAGCTTCAATACATGCTTGAACTCGGTTTTTCATACTACTGATGTTGTTAACTA